ATAAAAGATTGAGATAAACTCGGCTTTAGACTGCACTACTTTCTTTAGATTATCTGTCAATTCATAAAAAAGTTGCGAATTCAATATCTTAATCTAGAGATAATAAATAGCTTTGGACATAAAATGTGCATGCGACACCCACACTTCAGCTTGAATTTAATAAAACTCTTTCAAGGTATAAGTACATAAGAGTTAATTTGTAATCTCCTCAGGAGAAAATGTTTTACTTTAAAGCCATCTCGCAAAAATTTTCAGCGTCGAGTCTATGGATTTCTAAGAAAGTGTTAGCAATAGATTGGGTATCCTATTTTACAAACTTTTAAGAGCCATTGCTACTTTTTATATCACTCCAGTTTAATTGGAACCGTTTAAACATTAAGTTTTCTGGAGATTTAGTTTTTTCACTGTACAGATTTTTTTACAGAGGTGTTTTAGATTTAATTCATAAACATGCCTCCTGCAAGCCAGCTCTAGTACAATTGAATTTTGTTTATGACTAAACCTGACTTTTTCACCAGAAAGTCTTCCTGTAAGTGTAGCTGTTGTATCAAAGCATAAACCTTTCATGTCATCACATACTTCATATTCAAACAGTATTTTAAATAAAGCATCATATTGAGCTTGTCCAGTACCACAATCAATAGCTGGAATTCCAAGAAGCTTCATTTTACCATCAATATTGAACAACACTGCAAAACGACCTCTTTTCGATTTTTTTACCTTCTGTGACATCTTCAATAATTTTTTCATCAAAATGTGCTATTATGGGAAAAATAGCTTTAGAGGTAGCAATTTTAAATTTTTTTAAATATTGTTCAGCATTTTCCTGATAAGATTTTTTAGAGCCACATTTCCACCTAAACCTTCGATTAAATCTGTACATACATGCATTAAATCTTTTGATGAAATATTTTTTGATACTGATGTCATGGGAATATCCTTAAAAAAAACCTTCCCTAACTATTGTTTTTGATTACTTGGGCCTGGTTGCGCTAAATCAAAAGAAATATCTGATTCTGCATTTATAATTACTTGGGGTAATTGTTTAATATTACAATTTTTAAAATGTTTCTTTTCTTAATTTACAGTCTTATATCTCATGTCTTTGCTCTGCAAAGTCATTAGGCAATTGGTCTTTTGGTTTTTTAAAAATTTGATATCAGCATAATATGAAAGTTTATCAAGGCTCGTTTTTTTAAGATTTCCTTAATATTATCTTTACTAATCCAAAAAACTTGCTCCTCCTTCTTCTTGAATTCTTCCCTAATTTCTCTGCTGCTTATTATATATGCTTATTCTTCTTTACTTCTTTAAAGAGTCTTTACTCTTAACTTTCTTTAATGTCTCCTAACTAAACTAACTCCTAATTAAACAAGTGATATTATCCCATCGATCGAACAAGTGATATTATCCCATCGATCGAACAAGTGATATTATCCTGCAAAAATTACGATAATACATTAAATGAAATTAAAATGACACATAAGAAATCATTATATTTCATATTTGTTTTATTGTTCGATAATAAGAAATTTTATTTAATAATTAATCAGGTCACCTTATAGTTATTATATTATTTAGCTATAAACCCATATGTAATAACAACTGGAAAAAAAAAATTAATTGTAGCGGTATTAAAAAAAACCTTAATCTACTAGCTTAATAAGTTCAAAGGATTACAAAAAATTATTTTTACTATTTTATTATAAGTTGAAATTATAAAACTTACCTCATAGATTTATTGTTAATAATCCATCTTTGTACCCTCTGACCAAGGTTTTTTTACTGCAAAAAGAATACAGTTGTCAGGGCAATTGACAAGACCAGAGCACTTTGTGAATTTATTGGGCCCATCAGTACAACCATTAAACTTTTTGGACAGAGTTAACTTGTTACTAGATCTCTTAAACTGAAAGTTAAGAATCAATTCTTTATTTGTTGCAAAAGTTATACAAGGTAAGTTTTCTATCAGGTTTTCTTCTTTAAGTAAATACGTTCAAGCTTTTAGTCTTTAAAAATTTTTTTGAATTCTATTTAAAAAAATATTAGACTACTTGGTATTACTAACGCAAATTTAGTTTTAAATACTTAGTCTTAGCATTGGAAAAAAGTTGTTAAATTTTAAATTATTGTATAACTACTTTGGTTCATACATTTTTTTATAATAATTTTTTTTTTTGATAATCAAATTTCCACATTTTAAATTTATTGCGCTCTAATGTTGATTAAGTAGGGGCCATTAAGGTTAGTGTCCAGGATCCCTATGGATCAAATTATTATTTTCCAGGACCCCATGGATCAAATTATTTTTTTTTAAGACTTAATTATTGAACCTGGATCTTATTTGATCTATGGGGTCCTGGCCTTAAGCTTTTACTGAAGTGATCACATTTAAAACTGGCTGTCTTTATTGGTTACACTGATTTTAATATAGATAAAAAAATAATAATGTAGATAAGAAACAACAGGGACCAAGGATGGAACTTTGTGGTACCTTAGACATAACTAGAAATGAAGGAAAGTATTGTCCATCAAGAATGAACTTAAAAGTACAATTTGAAATAACCGTTTCTATCATTTTAAAAACTTTTCCAGAATAACCATACGAAGAGTGCATATGTACAAACTTTACAAAAACACTTAATATTTTAATTGTCTTTTGAAATGCCAAATCGGACAAACAGGACCCCATGGATAAAATAAGATCCAGGACCCCCATGGATCAAATTATTATTTTTTTTAAGACTTAATTTGACACTATTATAAAAAACTATCCAGTTTATAGTTTTTTGTGTGTCTGGAAACAGTTGATTAGAAAATCAAAAATGTTTTTTATATGCCACAAAGTGATAAGATAGGTTTTTGTCAAAAAAAATTGGATTTTTTCACCAAATTCAGAAGATTCTCTAGATATTCTGTAGACTAATTTCTTAATTTTTTCCACATGCTCCTTTTATATGATTACAGTAGATGCTTGCTTAATTGCGCACCCAATTAGTTGCGCATCTGAGTTAATAGTGTGTTTAGGCCGAAAATATTTGTTTCAATTTTTTACTGAGTTTTTTGTTGAAAGTGTAATTAGATCAGAAAACAAAACTATTATTTTCCCGTGTTAAGTTAAAAATATTGTATATTGTAAAAATATGCTCTCCCTGCTGAACGAAATTGAAGGAATAGGGAATATGATTAGTTCGAAGATATCAGCAATTTTGAATCAATTGACTGTGAAGATTCTCCAACGTATATTGAAGCAATCAAGGAAGATGTTGAAGATTGTTTGTCTCTCAAAGAAAATAATGATAATGGAGTTGCTATGGATAACAATTCTGATGAAAAAGAAGCTAATAATGATGAGATAGACGATGGTACAGACTTCTTAGGTATTGAATTTATACATTTATCTCTGATCGATATTGGCAAGCAATTAAAATGTCAAAAAGCTAAAGGAAATTTAAAAGACAACAATAAATTAATGAACAACTATCATCAAACATACGGTCAGTAATTATAAAATTTAAACAAGAAAAGCTGCAGAATGCATATCAACCTACAATTCATGACTTTTTCTGTCATGCATAATATATTTCTTAATTAAGATTTGTTTATATAGTTAATAATTTAGTTTGCTAAATTTTTTCTTATCTTTTTCTTATTTGCGCACTCCTAGTTAATTGCGCACCGCAGTGCCTGTTTCAATTTGCGCAATTAAGCGAGAGACTACTGTAATACTCAATCCAACATATAATATTTAAAAGAATAAAAAATTTTATAGGATAAATTTTAAGGTGTTTAAAACCCTGCCAAGTGTTTAATACACCCAACATTTTTGGCTCAAAATCGAACTGGCGGGGATTGATTGGCGGGGATTGATTCGCGAGTTCAATTTCAAAAATTGATAAAATATGAAACATCCTAATATATTAGATCAGCAAAATACCAAATAATCTATTTATTTAAAATATATATATATATATATATATATATATATATATATATACACACCTACACATATCGGATACCATGTATCCAAGAATACAATTTTCTAATATACTTTGTTTGCTTTATTCATAAAATGTGAGCTTTAATTTTTCAAAAAAAAAATCAAAAATAAAGATCAATGAAAAAAAGATTATAACCCCAACCCAAACTCAAACCCTTAGCCGATGTAGCAGCACTCTTTGTGTGTTCTTCCTATTTAGTCAATTTCAAAAATAAACAAACTGAAAAGAGAAACAAACTTAACAAACAATAAAACAGATAAAGGAGAAACCAGAGAAAAAAACGCATAAAACTAATATATTTTTTAAATTTACAACTAATAGTTCAAACTTAATTAATTTAAAAACATTTCAATTGATAGTTTAAAGCTAATTTTTTTCCTATATCGCTACATTGATGTAGTGCATAGTTGGCTAAATTGTGTTGTTTATGAGGCGCAACTGTTATATCAGAATTGGATGAGGGTTCAAATACTACATATGGATATATATTTCTTATGTTTTATTTGCTTTTTATTAAAAGTTTCAAATTTTTAATTAAGTTTTGAAGTAATTAAGCTTCAATCAAATAACTTTGAAATTTCGATTTTTTAAAAATTCTTTGTAGTGAAACACTTTTCAATTAAAAATAAAAAGATATATTAATTTTATGCTTTTAATTTTTCTTCCATTTTTTATTTATTTTATCAATCATTAAGACTTTTTTTTTTTTTAGTGTTTATTTCTTTTTCCAGCTTATAGTTTGTTTATTTTTAATTTTAGATTAAGTTGACATTTCTTTATTCAGCTTATTTTTAAATGTGCTAACAATTCTTAATATATATATATATATATATATATATATATATATATATATATATATATATATATATATATATATATATATATATATATATATATATATATATATATATATATATATATATATATATTTAAAATTTTGAATTTACACAAGTATCAACAAAAACAAAAAAACTTTTGTTCACAAACAGGAAAACTTACATCTATATTCAAAAATAAGTTTGGTGAATGCTAACAGTGTTGCACTTATCATGTGGGGTGAAGCAGCCAATCCAGCCATTACTATCTTAAAATATTCTTCAATACATTCTAAAAGAAATAATCTTAGAAACTTATTGTAAGTTATTCAATATTTTTATAAAAATTTTTTATTTACAATATTTCAAAAAAAAAAAAAAAAAAAAAAAATGTTTTTTATATATAAATTCTTTTCTTTTATTTATAAGTTGAAAATTTTTATGATTTGTTTTGTTCAGACTTTTGTTTAAAAATTTAAAAAAAATTTAAAAATTTCTTTACAAAAAAATACATTAAAATAATGTCCAATAACGATTGATGAAAAGAAATTTCTTCTAATGTTGTTTTAAAATTTTTTCATAATAAACAAAATGAACGACTAATTTGAACTTGCTTAAAAATTTACATTGATTTACATTACAGTTGATGACTTTGAAAAATGTAAATTAAAATATTTATATTTTAATTTACATTTTTAATATCTATATTTTAATTTCGTTTTTTTGCACTAATATTAATATAATCTAATATAAATATGTCTATCTGAAAAATCACAGATAGAATATTAATGCCATACATTAAATTGTTTAGTTCAATAAACTATTTTGTGATGTAATATGAATTGTCACATGTTACTGATGTAATGTGAATTGTCACATTAATTTTGCCTAAAAAGTGAAAACTTATTTATAAAATAATAAAAAATTTTAATATGCTAAAATAAAATTTTATTTATTAATACTTTTATATATTGTAAATATTAACTCAAGATAAGGAGCACCTGTATAATATATAAAATATTACTATGACATGAATATTGTTATCTTTACTTTACTGTCAGTACTTCGTTTAAACAGATTGAACAGTTTCCAGTTCCAGCTTTATTTAAACAATTTAAATCATTTTTAACTAAAAACCTTGTGACATATTATATTTAAAGTAAACATTAAAGGTGTTATTATCTGGTTGTTCAACATTTAATTGTAAATTTGTTAAATTCAATTCAAATTTATATTTTTTCTATTTAGATAATGAAAAGAGTGGTAAATTGGTTTTTCATAAAGTCAAAAATATTTATAAAAAATCTTTTTTTAGTTAGTTTATAATAGTTTTTAAAATATTTTTGTTAAAACAAATAATCATTTTTAAACATTAATTTATGCTATTTATACTTTATTTTAGTGTGCAGTGCTATTTATATTTTATTTTGGTGTGCATACTATTAAAAAATATTTTTAAATTTATCTTTGATTTATATATATATATATATATATATATATATATATATATATATATATATATATATATATATATATATATATATATATATATATATATATATATATATATATATATATAAATAATATATAAAGTCATTTTCTTCTTATACAATAAATGTTTAATTTAATAAATATAAACTTCATATAAACTTTTTGAACATATATATTTTTAAAATAGAAAGATCATTTGGTATTTTGCTGATCTATTGTGATCAGTGCCATCAGGCATAATAATAAATTTTTAAACTTATAAACTATATATAAAACTTATTCAACCATTTACCAACAGTAAAGTAAACATTGGAAGTAAACACAAACAAAGAGAATAAAAGATTTAGGTTACTAACTGTTGTAACTTTTCTTTAAACTTTTAACTATTTGTTAAGCTTCTGTATATTTAATCAAACTTTTTTTATTGCTTAATCAAAATTCAATGATCATAAGCTAGTGAAACCATTTCAATAAATACTGCTTTTAAAAAAAGATATTTTTGTTGATGGTTACTTTATTCATCATTCATTAAGTTTAATATGATATATTTTAAAGACCAAGTATTTTTTTTTTGTTATTTCTTTATTAATAATTTGTTATACAATTGTACATATATAAATTGTACTAAGTTGTTGTTCAACATAATTGTTATTCATTAAAATTTTTATAAAGATTTACATAAGGTGTTGTACTAATAATAACCAGTTAAACAGAAAAAGTAAGAGGGGAACAACAAAATCTACAATTAATCTATTTTACAAGCCTTCACTAATAGTGTGTATATATTTTAAAATATCTTATTAGCTTCGAAATTAATGGCCGGTCAAAGGACAATGACCGCTTCAAATGACTAAAATTACTATTTTGACTGATAAAAAAAAAAAAAGAGAAGGATTTTGAAATACAAGGTTAAAAAATGCATTGATTTTATTCAAAATTATTATTTTTAAAAGGAATACAAATTTGTTAACTTTTAAGTTTTTTAACTTAACTTTTTTTTTTTTTAAACTTAACTTTTAAGTTCAGTCATGAAAAACTATTACTATAATAAAAATTTAAACAAATGAAAAAAATTTTGACCTTCGAAAAAAAATAAAAATAAAAATAAAAACAATTGACTGTTAATTCCAAGTGTTAGACAGTTAAAGTGACCACTTGCCTTCAATTTCTTATTTCTCACACTGATTTTATAGAAATATCAGTAAATAATTTTAACAAGATATTTGCTGATATTTTGAAAGATAAAATATATGTATTAAAAAAATTGCTCAGAAACATTTGCTTGTGCACAACTATTCAACATTCAACTTTTAAAAAAATTATAAAACCTTCTTTTGGTTTACTGCTTAAGAAAACAAGTGATGTTCCAATATCAACCAAAAGATCAAATGCTGCTGTTTTTGCTTTAACACCAACTTCTTTTGTACAAAGTATTACCTAAAAACAAAAAAGTTTATTCAAAAAAATAGTTTTATTGGTTGTTTTTAATGATCAAGTAGTATATAATTAGAATTATCTTATGGGGACCAATCTATATCTAAGCTAATAAAAATAAAAGGCTATTACATCAAAACAAACAGTACCCTATATATTAGCTTTTGGGGATCACAGTAGACAATAATATATACATATATATATATATATATATATATATATATATATATATATATATATATATATATATATATATATATATATATATATATATATATATATATATATATATATATATATATATATATATATATATATAACCAGCTAAGAAACAAGATGATTAGTAAGATAGATAACAAACTGAAGAACCTGAAGAAAAAAAATGAAACAAGATAAAAGTTAAAACAAGATAAAAGTGGCAAAGCTTGTTTTTATATTAAATGTTTTTATATACAAAATATTAAACAATAATTGAATGATTAATGAATTATATAATTAGAATAAATAAAAGATAGAAGATAGAAGATATAGTTTATTCAAGTAATAAATATATATTGTCTAAGATAGAAAATATAAATAAATAACATATTATATAAGATAAAAGATATAATTTACCCAAATGAAATGCTTTTTTTAAAAAAGTTACACAGCTTATTTAAAAAAGAATTTAAAGCAAAAAAATTTTTTGGTTATTTTTAAAAAACCCACGTTTTTTTTTTAAGAAAAAATCTTTTTTTTTTCAACCCTGGATTCATTGGTAAATATTACATCCTCTCAATCTTCCGCTGACAAGTCCTTATATTTCTGACAGAGAGCAATATTAATATTTTTTTTGAAAAAAGCAAGGTTTTTTTTGCTGGAACATTGCCCCTAAAATAAAATTGTTTGCACAAATTTTTTTAAATTGATACAAACCAAGTTTCTGAAAACTATTGTTGTTACAATAAGGTCATATAAAAAGTATTGGCAGAAGGTATTTCAATAATTTTGGAAAATGCTTTTAACTTATTAACAATGAATATTTGAGCCACATTTGAATTTTTTTTGTTGAACAGTTCCAAAGTTATTTGGTTTAGAAAGTATAACTAGAAAGTAATAAGAACTTTCTAATAAGCAACACACGCGCAATTATAAAAACTAAAATTAATCTAAAATTTTTTTTTTAAAAAAAAATGATTTATTTAAGAGGTCTTTTAATGGTTAAATATTAAAAAAACAATTTTTTTTTTAAATATCTTCGCTTTCAACAAGGCTGCAAGCAAATACTAATTAGTGTTGGAAGTTACTGGAAAAGACGCAGATTGTAGAGCAAGATAACAATTGACAGACGACTTAAAAGATTGCAAATTATATGAATCAGGAAAGCAAGTTGAAGGAAGCAAATTTCAAAGAACCGATGTCCAAGGAAAAAAGCTAGAGGAAAAGAGTTTTTGGAGCACTTAGGAAAAGTCACAGAAAAAGGATGAAGCTTAATTGAATGACAAGTAACACGAGAATGAATTTTAGTAGATGGCACAAGAGACGCTAGCTCTTTAGAGCAGTGCCCATTAAAGTATTTGTAGAAAAGAGAAAGAGAAGCAACATTATGACAACGTGATAATGGTTGAAGGTTGGCTGCCAGACCTACTATGTTAACAATGCGTTTGGTTAATGGTCCAACTGTGTTAACAATGTATTTTTGCACCTTGTCTAAAAAAGAAAGGGCATCATTAGAAGATCCGCCCCAGATATGCAACAGTATTCCATACAAGCCAGAACCCCTGAGGTTATAGAATAAGAAGAAGACTGCTGTCCATCAAGCACAACTTTTATACAACGATTGGAAAGGAAGGATTCAATAATCTTAAAGATTTTTCCAGATACACTGTAAGAAGAAAGCTTATGGAGAAGACCAGCATGCCAAACTTTATCAAAAGCTTTAGAAATGTCAAGAGTGATGGCCTTAACCTCTCCACCTTTATCTAATGCACGATAAAACCTATCGGTTATTACTGTTAGCAAATCAGCCATAGAACAAGAAGATCGAAATTTATATCAATAATCAGTAAGTAAGCTATTAGATTCAAGATGAGAGATTAAGTGTTTGTTAATTAAAGATTCAAAAAACTTGCTCATAAGCTCATAATAGGAAGAAGACCAATGGGAAGGTAGTTACACGATCACTCAGATCAGATCGCTCTCCAGAACTTTTAAAAATAGGGATAACAGATGCTACTTTCCAGCAAGCTGGAAAACAAGACTCTGATAAGCACTTGTTGAATAGTTTTTAAAGGATAGAACACTTCTGCAAGACTATAACAGGTATATTGTCCAGGCCACAAGCAGTAGAAGAGTCTAAGCAGGAAATCACTTTAGATACAGAAGCTGGAGTGATACGAATGTCAATCAATGGGTCAACCTGTTTGCCGGCTATATCAGGTAGAACACAACTAATGGAATCAAGAGATGATATTGATGAAAAGTTCTTGACAAACAATTCAGCTTTGTCTTTAGGTGAGGTGAGGTGACAAAGTCTGAACCATACAAGAGAGGTGGAATAACAGATTTGCCCTTATTATTGATACTAAAAAAAATGGCAACATTGAACAACAAAGGTAACCATAAAGGTTATGGACAAATTTTGATTAAAATATTGGATTAAATGGTATTTTATTAGAGTAAAAACTATACATAACACTTGTTAAAACTTGTTAAAATTCTTCTACACTACACTATATTTTTTCAATCATAAAATATTTACTACATTTAGAAATAAATTTAGATTAACCAATAGTTTCAGTAGGACAGAGGATAATTAGACTATGCAAAAATAAAAGGAGCTCTTATGTTTTTGGGTTTACCATTGTTTGTGTTTCTTTAAATAGGAAGTGTTAATTAAAAGTAGTATTTTTTGTTTGTGTAAATGATTTTCATAAGATAATAAACTCATTTCATTTTTAAGTCCCAGAAAAAAAAAAAAAAGATGGAAAAAAGGTTCAATAATTTTATTATTCTTTAGCAACCATTTAGGTGGTTGTCAAATTGAGATCACTTACAAAGCAAACACTCTGCTAATACATTACATATATTATGCTTATTAATATTAAAAAGTAATTCAGGATTTAAAAATAAAATATTTTTTTCTAAAACTTTTTATTTTTAAATACTATTATTAATTCATTATATAAATATTTTATCTAAAAATAGCAAAAACAGATCGATTGATGTCTACACATCATGTCAGCTATCTCAAAGATCAAGTGGTGCCTATCACATCATGCCAGCTATGGTCAAAATTTAGAACAAGTTAGTTCATAATACAGTAAAGCTATTTTTGCTATTCAACCCAGATGATTTAAAAACATGCTACAAACTATGTTTTGCAGCCTTAACAAATAAGAAAGTAAATTTGTGATGCAAAAAATAATGGAAATAGGACAAAAGAAAAATTTCCCTCACAAATCCTGATGCCAATAACTTAGTTTAACTTTTCTAAATACAGACTCTACAACATTTAAGAGACTCTAACACATTGATTTTAGTTTTAGACATATAGTACTTATTATAGTATTTAGAATATTTACAAAAATTTAAATTTAAAAATATTAGAAATTATATTACAACTCAATTTATTTATAATATTATAAAGTTTAAAGCAATTAATATACAAAAGCTTACCTCAGGGATTACTGTTATCAAAAAATCCTTTTGACTTGAATCAAGCTTTTTTATAAGTAATGAAATGCAGCGCAACCGAGGCTAAATATATATATATATAAAAAATTCATTACTTCAAATAAACATTTACTTTGAAAAAAATTGAGACATGCAACGTTAAATTAGCTATGTCATTCAAAATAAAATCCTCTACATAGAGCGCCATTGAATACATCTACTGTTTGTTATTACTTATATTCATTTTGTGAAACTTAGAAATCTTGATTGCTGAAACAATCAAGATATTTGAATAGCAGAGAACATTTGATTGCTGAAACAACCAAGATATTTGAATAGCAGTGAACATTTGATTGCTGAAACAATCAAGGTATTTGAATAGCAGTGAACATTTGATTGCTGAAACAATCAAGATATTTGAATAGTGAACATTTGCAAATTGTTGGCTAAAATGTAGCTAAATAATAGAAAGAAAAACTAATATAAAAAATAAGAGAAAGACTTATCATTAAAACAACAGTTTTTTTACACTTTTATGGAGTTCACTATTTTGTACAACTTTAACAAAACTCCATATTTAGTTTAAAAAAATTTATATAGGTACAGAAATATGTTTTTCGTTTTATAATTTTTCACAATTACTGATTTAAAAAAATGATTATATAAGCTTATCTTAAAAAAAAAATTATATAAGCTTATATATTAAAAAAAAAATTAATCAAATTTCATTCCAGATGGCTCACTATAGTCGATTGTTTCTGCAGATTGTTTTTTTCTTTTTCTAAAAAAACAACCTCAAAAAAGAAATTTTGTTTAATTATTAAATTTATTGTAAGTATTTATTATTGTTGGTTTCAAAAAAGATTCATTCACTTCGATGGACCTCGGAATACTTTATTCCAATTGAATAAATTAAAATATTAAAAAGTAGAAGAAAAAAAAAAATCTTAAAATCTAAAACAGAATTGTAAAGAAAAACATTTTGTGGTTGAGATTGGAAAGGAACTTTTTTAATGAAATATATTTGTAGTTTGTTTATTTCATATTTTAGACACTTTTCTCTATAAAAAAGCAAATCTTACCTGCAAGATATTTTCAGATCATAATTGGCAGATTTGGAATTCCCATAAAATTTTTTTAAAATTTCAATATATTTCAAAATTCTTCACAATTCCCATGAAATTCTTCACAATTACAAGCCTTCCCAGGAAAAGCGTGCGGTTTTTAGTTTCGTACAAGCACGAAAACGTTTTTCAAGTTAGAGAACGTGATCATGGCCGTTTGCCATGATCACGTTCTCTAACTTTCTCGCTAGCAAACTTATAATAATTTGCCATTTTGGGGCAAATTATTATAAGTTTGCTAGCGAGAAAGTTACAAAAAACAAAACAAAAACAATAAACTTACGACTACAAAAGTAATAACACTTTAGCCACTAACTGCATTATGAAAGTAATAAAACTATAATAGTGTTATTACATTTATAAAGCACTTATTACTTTTAAAATTCATTCTTTGTTCAAACAACATTATTAATTCCAAACATTTATTAAAGTAGAAAAGCATCTAGAAGAAATAAAGCTAAAATTTGAAGGATATTCAAATATTATTAAAAATTTCAGGAACTTTCACATATAAAAAGTATAGCATTGTATGAAAAACGTTACGCAAAAACGCACATTAATTTTAAAATCAACCAATAAAAAATTTTTATTGGTTAATTTTAAAATTAACACACGTTTTTACGGTCCATTAGTAATGTTTTTCATAATGCTAAACTTTTAATACAATACGTTTTCATAAAGTTTTTTGTCACGTTTTTATAACTTACTTTAGTTTTAATATTATTTGAACATCCACTTTATTCCTCTAGATATTTTTCTGCTTCAATTAAAATTTGGAAATACTAATGTTGCTTGAACAAAGAATGAATTTTAAAAGTTATAAGTGCGTTATTAAAGTAATAACACTATTATAGTGTTAATACTTTTGTAATGCAGTTAGTGACTCGAGTGTTATTACTTTTGTTATTGTAAGTTTATTTATTTATTTTTATTTTTTTTTCGCTTACAAATTTAAGTTGATTCTCCCCTTAAAAACAAGGAACACGGTTTTGTATAAACTAAAATTTTGAATACTAGATATTTTTCCAGATTTTGCGTTTTGCATTCGCTTTATTCAACCCTTGTTTTTACATTAAAATTATATAAATTAAATTTTACAAACATATTGCAATTTGTATTTTTGCTATCCTCTTAAAAAAAATGAAGAAAAAGAAAATCATTCTTTTTATTGAAGACTTTGAACTGTTTTTTTTTCTTTGCTTCGCCTTATCTTATTTTTGTTGCTGAATGTAACTCTAAAGAAACAAAAATAAACACAGTACACAAATTATTTAAATTATTAATTTGTTTTAATTTTTTTTCTATTTCAATCTCTTTTTATTCTGTTATGTTTTTTTTGTTTTTGAAACTTTTTCAGCATTATTATAAAACTTACAAACGACCGTGTTCACATTTTCTAAAATAGTGTAATCACGTGTGGTCATACGAGAAAAAAAACCGCACGCCTTTCCTGGGAAGGCTTGCAATTATAAACTTTTTTTATTCTTCAAACTTAATAAAAACAGGACTTTTCCTGCTTTTATGAAGTTTTAAGATTGAAGAAAAGTTTATATTTATGAAGAATTTTAAAGCACCCACAGTAACTTCTAACAAAGCACCTTACAGTAACATTTCTTGTCTTAAAAAAAGAAAATTTAGCCTAGTTTTTCTAAAAATAACCTTCACGAAAACTCACTTTATATAGTCATTTTTATTACATTTTTTAATATGAAATTTTTTATAAAGAATATCAAAATGTATATTGAGTTGAATAAAAATTTTACAAAAAAATTTTTCTTTTTAAATAATTTAAAAAAATCGCATTTTAGTGAAATTTTAGTCTTAATAACAAAAGATTTTTAAAACTAATTTAAATTGAATTGCTTTTTATTTTTCAATTTTTGTTTTAACCTTGATTAGGTTTATTGTTAAACATTTTATCTACTTTTTTTCAAAATTTTTACAGTATTTAACACGATGGTGATCACATGATTTAGAAAGTAAATTAGACACTAATAAATTTTTTAATAAAAAAAATTTACTTAATTTATTTTATAAACAAAAATTCTAAAATAGTTACAGCTTTTGATGATGGTACTGCACTTGAAAGAGAATCCACAAATATTTTCTTTAATTCAGTAAACTTATCTTTAACTAAGTCTTTTGCAGCTTCTGAATTACTATCACACAATTCTTCTAGTATACGATAACCTTTCTTTTGCATACTTTTATCTTTATTCTAAACATATTATAATTACATGTTAATATACAATATATCGTTTTAGATTTTACTGGTGTCAGTGCATTCTTACATCAAGGTTGACTACAGCAATGGAAAACAATTGATTAACAACTTCTTCATCAGAATACTTGACCATGGCAACAGCTAAATCCATTAAATGATGCCTAAAAAATAAAACAAACATAAAAAACAAGTAAATCAAATTTTTAATTGAATTTAAGATTGATAATTACTTTTTGTCAGCAGAGCTATCATCTGCTAATTTTTCAATCAGCTTCTTAGCAAAAGTCTTGATGAGCTAAAAAATAAAAACAACAAACAAACATTTATGTAACTTAAAACTTGAAAGATTTATATATAAACTCTTATTACTAGAAAATGTATTAGTAAATAAAATTATCTAAATGCATAAATATTTATAAGTATTGTGACAAATAATACCAAGATACCAACAAAATATAGACTAAACACAAAATATAGACTAAACACAAAATATAGAAAAACACACAAAAGTATAAATAAACACAAACAAGAAGTTTAACACTGACAAGTCAACCCACAAAATCAGCAGTAAAATGTGACTAATCTGACAAAATGTAAACTAAAAACAATGAAATATAAACTAACAACAAATTATTAATAAACACCATTAAAAATTAGATTATTTGACAAGATGTGAATTATTGTAGACTAATATTTATTGATCTAAAGAAAAACTGTTCTTGAGCTTTTTAACTTGCATTTGAGCATTTTAAAAATTTTAAAAATTTTTATCAGTTTTTTAAAAAAACTACTAGGCTCAATAACGTTGAAACATCAACCATTTTTATTTTTTTTAAATAACTACAGATAATGAAAAATAAAATTACCTGCTGAAAGTTTGAGGTTATCAAAATTGAATGTGCTAATATACCTCATGTCATGGAGGTCAGCATATTTTAAGACCCTTTTACAGGGGCAAAAAAAGCTATAAAAATCTGGTTTAAAGTGTCCACCTGTTTAATAGATTTAAAACAAAATAAATTTTTATATAGTAAACATACAAAAAATGTTAAAGGAGACTTGACATAAATACTTGATATATATATATATATATATATATATATATATATATATATATATATATATATATCAAGTATTTATGTCATGATTAGAACCCAATCCTTTCCTTTGATCGATTTTTTTTTAAATCTTTAAAATGAGAATTCCCATTTTGGGAGCTTTCTTTATTTTATTTAACAGTGAAATAAAAACTAACATTTTTGTCTGTAACATGAAGAAACATTTTGATTGTTTCTAAAACAGAAAGCGATACAGCTTGACAGTCTTTATCATCAGATGTGTATAGATTGAACAATATAGGCAAGTAGTTTTTTGAGTAATATCCGATTGCTTTCAGGTCAGTTTCTAGAAAAAAATCAGATAAAATATTGACATTTTGATTAAAATAATTTGAAAAAAAATTAAATTTAAATTTAATATTCAATTAAAAACTGTATATATTTTAAAATATATACAGTTATGACCAAATAGATCTGACTACTCAATATTTATAGCGAATGACTGTTAGACAGTACCATATATCATACACATTTATTACTAGAAAAAGATTTAATTCAAAAATATTCGGTATTTATTTTATGACACCAAACTTTCATAATAATATAATGACCAAGTGAGTTGCTCGGTCATAGGGTAATTGTACTTCCTTGAAGTCATGTAAATGGTGTTAACTAGTACAACCATTGGCAATGATCACATTCAACAGAAGCTCAACAGAAGATGCAACACATTGAGGACACTTTTTGTGCTACAAAGTGCTTGATATGCACTTCATCTGAGAACATGACTAATTGCCACATTTTAACTGCCAATCTTTGAGTTTTTTTGCAAAATTTGAAGTTGTCACAAATATTTTTTTTGAGTAAGTCACGAGTTTAATGCAGCACAGTATGAATAAAGATTAAAGTCATTAAAAACATTTTCAAACTGTGTGCGCACTAACATTTACACTAGTAAGTAATTGTGTAAGAATTTATGAGTTTGAAATTTGCATATTTTTCACAGTCAAATTATGTATCATGTTGCTGGTTTTTGGAGTGCTATATTTTAGACTTCCTTAGGATTTTCCTAGATTGATACCATCTGTTGCTGCATTGAATAATATGTAACAACTATGTCATAATAATTATGTCTTACGTATCTTCAAATGTGCAGCAACCATTCATCGCATTTGTTGGACTTTTCCACATTTAGCAAGTGATCTTATAGCCATATTATATGATAATAGCAATTACACATGACTTTAATGGATGTAGAGCATATTAGATATTTTTCTATTGGTTGATAACTATGCAATCACCCACACAATAAGTGATTGTTTAGTAATAATTAATAAAAATAATAATTAATAGGTGGTAATATCTTATTGGCCATAACAATATATATTTTACCTAATATAGATAATAAAAACCTAAATTTTCATTAGTATTTTATGCACATTTTTAAGATTCTTCATTTACATTGGAGTCAGGGACAGATTCAGTACTAAAAAGTTATTTTGCTATCTTTACTTGTCAATAGTATAACTTATACTGTTATACAGTTTACAATTTTCTTATATTTTTTTTTAAAGTTCAAATTTGTAAATATTCTTATAAACAAAACAACATTTTTAATATTTGTCTAAAACATTTGAATAAATTATTTAAAATGTTTTGACTATAACGTAGACATCCTCAGATAAAATAAATACAACTATGTAATATAATTAGTAGTGGTATAGTGGTAGAACACTCACTTCATAAGCGAAAAATCACGAGTTAAATAACCACCACATCCCTGATAGTAGCACATTTAAATTGTTTCTCAACGCAGCAACCTTGATTGTCAAAGTTTGTGTTTTGGAGTTAAAGAGTTGAGAGACGATTGAAACTACAATAAAGTAGCCTCTTTGACAGTAATGGCCCTCTTGGCCATGGAGGAGTGAATAACGTTAAAAAAATTCATAAATTGATTAATAATAAAATTAAAAAGGAATTAAAAAAATGTAGCAAATGTCAAAAAATTAAAGAAGACAAAAAAAAAAAAATTAGGAATGTTTTAGAGGACTTGATTGAAAATGTCATTTTTACATGGTTCACTTTATTAATACTTAGGTTTTTCCACTCTATATGCATACTTTCTATAAGCTTTAAAACAAATTGGTTAAAAAAACTACAACTAAATTTATGAAAACAACTTTTATTTGAGTGAAGATATTTTAAAACAAGTATTTTAAATAAGTTAACCAAATATTCGCAACAGATTTTAAAAAGTTGTCTAGTTTATACATATTTGTGCTTAAAAGAAACTTATATATATATATATATATATATATATATATATATATATATATATATATATATATATATATATATATATATATATATATATATATAATATATATATACACACACACACACACACACGCACGCACACACACGCACGCACACACACACTATACTTAGTTTATAGCTAAGGTTGCAATTTCCTAATGTCATTTTTGTGCTCTTAATTTTAAAACTTTAATTTTTAAAAAATAAAGAAAGCAAAGAATAATGAAAGAAAAAATTGCTGTCCCATTTCAAACACTTAGTTCATGTAGCAGCACTCCTTTGCAACAGCAGGCTATAAGATAGTCAATGAATATAAAGAAGCCCTCTAACCCATGTTTATCTAATGCGGCATTTATATATATATATATATATATATATATATATATATATATATATATATATATATATATACCACTTGTAAGTCTAATTATTTTACAATAATATAAAAATAAAATGCAATTAAAACACTAAATTGTTGGGCCTAACCTAACTGAAAACAGGAACAGGTCAATTAGCAAAATAAAAAGTCCAAAAAAAAAAAAAGTCGCATCCTAAATAAAAACCATAATAAAAATAAAATCATAATAAAAAATATTTTTACCATCAACTGTTTTACTGATGAGCATTCTCAAGGCTTGCAAAACAACAGATCGCAATTCTTTTTGTTCAGTTAGTGCAGTTCCCAAAATCATAGCAATGTTTTTGAACTCCTTTCATAAATAAAAATCTTTTAAAAAACTGTCGTAATAAGAAACTAATTAAAAATCTTTACCTATTGAAAAAACTGAAAAGTCAAATAAAATTATTTAAAAGTATATATTTAAAAATTCTTCACTTTCATTTTTATTTTATAAACTATTTTATTTTCAATTTTTTCTATTTTTCTGAGTCCTTGATCCATAGTGGCTATAATTTTTTTTTTTCGTTAATTTCATTTTGCATTGAAGAAAGTTTGCATTATATACTTCAAAAATTGTACTATAAATTCAATAATTCTACTATAAATTCAATAATTGCTTCATATTTAAAATAACAAAAAATCACAAAAAGCACAAGAGAATAATTAATCAATAAATACTGCCAGTTCATTGAAAAATAAATGAAATTTTGTACATAGATAGCTGGTAAAAACTACAAAATAGCATTGTTGAACATTAATCAGTAATTAAGGCTGTTGAAATTTGTGAAAATGCCTGCCCAGGTACCCATTGAATGAAAAGTTAGGTACTTAAGTATGTGTTAAAAAATTAATTGTAATATATTTAAAAAATAAGTATAAACAGTCAATAAAAATTCTTTTTTACTTACATAAAAATATGAAATATGTTATTATTGCAATTATTGTAAAAATCAGTAAAATATAAAGTAAAAATAACTTTTACAAAACATAAAGTATGTAGTGAAAATAGTGTTCACAAAAAATTTATTTGTTACAAATTGATGAAAGCTATTTTCTTATAACATTTAAGTTGTTTTAAAATAAACATTTTAATACAAGGTTTTTTCTAAATAACTTTTTTTTTAAAAAAAACATAAACATTTTATATATTACTTGCTGAACTGAAACTTGGATTTCTTTGAATGAACTTTAAAATAATTATTTTTTTTTTTCTCCCAGGTTTTGAAAGAGTTTTGTTCAAGAGACAAAATAAAAAATGTGTTTGAGGAGTTCAGAAATACAAATTAATCTCCAAACATGTTGAATATTTTCAGAAACTCTGATGGTAATAAGGAAATTCTACTTATAAAAAATTTTAACAAAATCTTCAAGACCTTATTTTACATACTAGGTGTATTGTTAAATTTATTATGATAAATGATTTTAAGCTTAAAATATGAATTAATTGATATAATATATGATAAAGAACTTTCAAAAGAATTTTAAACTTATCAAATAATGGGTAATCGTTGTTTGATAAGTTTATAAGAATTTATCAAATGACAGTTATTCATTGTTTGATAATGCTTGGTAGGCAGTAAGCAATGGTCAGGTACCCGGGTGCCAATTGACTTGACCTTTATCTGTATTCAGCAAGTTGTTATAATCTTTTAAAACAATTAAATAAACAATTACTAAAATTTAGATTAGCATCCTAAATGTTGAAAAAGTTAAAATCATAATATAAAAAATTAATCAAAACATTTTAGTGAAAAGTTTTTCTTTTTCGCATAAAACATCATTTAAACTTAGTCACTACCATGTTTTGCAATAATTGCATATATTATATATGGAATTATTGCAAAACATACTTTTGGTTGTTTATTGAAATTAAAATGGTAGTGACTAAGTTTAAATGATGTTTTATGCGAAAAAGAAAAAATTTTATATAATATAATATGTATTATAATATAACATTTATATAATATAATATGTATATTATATAGATGTATATATTATATACATCTATATAATATACATATTATATTATATAAATATATACATATTTCACATCTTAATTTCTAAGTTATTAGTTAAAGTTACTTGATCCAAATTCAAGTATTAACAATTTTTTGAATATATATACTTGTGAATATTTATTTTGAAAACATTAAACTTGAAAATCTCTTCTTGAACTTAAAACATGTTATAGTCTTTAATCATATAATAAAAAAGTCTTACCGAAGAAAGGTCAGAAGGGTTGTTACAAAATCCAGGTAATAAAGCCCATATCTAAATATAAAAGGACCATAAATTTAGCACAAAAAAAAAATACTTTGGTAGTCTGTTATCAATAATAAAAATGAACAATCAAGATTAAGTTATTACATTAATAAATCTGTTTTTTTTTTCAAAACTAATTCTAATTACTTTTACATTTTTCACAACTGTTTACATATTTAAATAGTACTGTATTTTAGATTTTGAATAAATTCATTTTAATAAATTTGAATAAATTCATTTTAATAAATTTGAATAAATTCATTTTAATAAATTTGAATAAATTCATTTTAATAAATTTGAATAAATTCATTTTAATAAATAATAGTAACTAATATTTCAAACAAAAATTAAATTTTACAAATTATTAGAATAAAAATAGATACTTCTTGTCATTTTCTTTCATTATGATAAATATTTTTACTTTTTTGTTAGTTATAATAATACATTAAACAATTAAACCCTTGCATTCAAACATTCTATTATCATTTTTATTAAAGAAAATCACAAAGTGCCTGTTTTTCGTCAAGATGGTTATGTTAAAAGATGTTTTATTTCATTGACAACCACCACTACCCACCCACGTCATTTAAATAAAACTAAAAATTATAAAAAATCTAAATTATTTAAAATAATTGACTTACATTGACGACAAAATATGAAAATATCTATAGTTTAAGTTAATAAAAAATTTTATTTAAAAAAATAATTGTTATTATTGTTATGTTATAATGGATGACCCCCCCCCCTAGTAGTTGTAACTCTTAAAATATGTTTATTTATTATGAATGAGCAGCTTCCAGCTGGTGTCTCGATATTCATCTTGAGCAGATGTTAAATGCATCCAGCTAGTGTCTTTTAAAAGGCCTCTTAGACAAAGACTTTAAGGGTAAGTAGAACAATTCTGCTGGCCACCCTCGAACCCTCTTCTTCTTCTATTAGGCTGGCATAAATGAAAACCTGTAGTATTCTACTCAAAGTTTTTTTCTTATCTTTTTCAAAAGAACATATCTCTTGAGAACAAATGCCTATTTATTATTGCAAGAAATCTATGTAAAAAAGTGCTGCCTGATACTAAACTCCATTATTCTCAGTTCGAGCAATCTTGTATCTTATCTCAGAAGTTAGGCTCAAGAAACTTTTAGAAAATCTTCAGCAGCATTATTGACAAGGGTAGGTCTAACATTTCATCTCTCATTTATGGGGCTGATCTTATTCTCTACCAAAGATCAGGCAGAACTATTTGCAAAGAACTTATCTTCTAACTCGACTCTTGAATCCTACGGCCACTCTTTCTTTCATTCTAATCAAACAGGTTAACTGATTGTTTGAAATTCAATTAACTCCAGCTTCTGTTGCTTAAGTCATACCTCAATTAAACTCTTCTACAGCTTGTGGTCTGAAAAACATTTAAATCATTTCTTTCTAACCGCTTTAAAGTCATCCTGGAAGGCCAACACTCTTCTTCATTTCCACTAACTTCAAGGCAAGCTAAGAGAATTAAGACAGGAATGGCCTGCTATCAAGCGCAACTGCTGACCATGCAAATGGCTTTTTTTATTGACAACTTGACCACGACTGTTTATATATTTTAGAAACGCGTTGAAAAAGAAACGTTAATTTAAACTTAAACTAGGAAGAAAATTAAAAAATTAAAAATAGAGAAAACAATTTCTTGCAAAAAAGAAAATATATAAGCACTATATAAGCACTAAAATAAAATTAAAAACAACTTTTATTACGCTTTTAATTGTGTTTGAAATAAATTACTTTTAAACTTATCTTTTGCAACATTTTATTAAATTTATGCAAAACGCTTTTTCAAATTAATTTTATTTATTCTTTAATGAATGAACAAAAAGTGTTATCTATATATTATTTTTAAATTGTATAAACATTTTTTTTTTTTAAAGTTGTACAAAAAAAAATGTTTAAAAAAATAACTTAGTCTTTTGCAAAAATAGTAATTTTTAATCATTGCATGCTCTGATTATCAAGTCAAGTAAAAAAAAAAAAAGTCTTAAACAATTTTTTGTAAAAGTAGAAACAAAAAAATATATAAAGCAATTAAATCCATTACAACGGGAAGATTTAATTTAGCTTATTCATAAATTAAAATAGTTAAAAAAAAATCTTTCAAAAATTTTTCATAAAAAATATATCCCTACATGAAAAAAAAATTAAATATAACATTTTTTTGTTAATTTACACAAAATGCGCTTTTAAACAAAATTTTAAACCATCATTATAATTAATTTTTTATTTTATCTAAAGACTTCAATTTTTTAAATTGAATTTAAATTATTAAAACATTTGTGGTCAAATAGTAAAGAAAATCTTATCTACAAAAATGATCTTCATGACAACCTTTTATCTAAAGTGGCTCTATTTGTTGATGAATTGACTTTTATACTCATGTCTTGACAAAGTCTTCTTTTTTTGATCCCTTAGAACAAGGTGCTGATCTTGAATCTGATCTAACTTCAATAACAGTCTTTTCTTGGTCTTGCAGTGTCAAACAGGTCTTGCAGTGGCTTGTGAATTTTAACACCAACAAAACTCAGATATTTACTTCAAAAAATTTGAACCTCTCCCATTATAGTGAAGTTACATTTCATTCTCTTATCTATTATTACTATCATCATCGCTGCCTAATGGAACTAATTTCTCAAGTTCTATCAATCAAGTCTCATTCTTTCACTGTATCTGCCCTTGCATGCTCTAAAAATTTTTACTCATCTAGCCCCCCCTCACTTTAACCCTTTGGAATTCTCTCCAATCTTCATGTTTTCTGTCATGTGTTTGCTTGCTCTTTAACTATATTCTTGTTTTCTAACTCCAACTTAACAGTGGTTGCTTGCAGCTATGTTAGAAGTGAATCAGTTTAAAAAAAAAGTAGAATATGTTTATTTATGATGGATTCTATTTGCAATGGTTAAAATAAATTTTGACATTTAAAAATTATTTTTTATGAAGTGCTTCATAAAACCTACCTGGGATTGGAGTGTTTCATAAACTTTTGCTTCGAGATCTTGGTTTATTGCTCTACATTTTAAAGCTATAAATTAAAAAGAAAAAAAAAACTAAATATTAATATCAACTCCTTCAACCTAAAAATTCTTTTGCATTTGCATCAGATGTGTACAAAAATAATTAGATATTTTTTGAATATTGAAATTTTAATTTCTGCACTCTGCTTGGAGAGTAATCTTGGGCGTTGTCACGTCAACATCATCTGAATCAGCTTAGTTATTACTCAAAAAATGATGTTTGATTTCCACATGATTTGAGTCTAATACAGCAAAACCAGCATTTATACTTTATTTGCAGGCTTGGTCGGGAAGCAGGAGCGATCACTCTTGATTGCTGACCACGGAAAAAATATTTAGTTTCGAAAAGCTGGCCAGATTTTTTAGTCGTTTTGAGAACATTTCAAAAAGCAAAAAAAATTCGCAAAGTATTAATTGGACCAATGAGAGACAATTACAAAAAAAAATAATAATAATTAGGAAAACAAAATATCTTTTAACGCAAAAAAACTTAAAGCAAAATAAATTATGTTTAGAACAAGTATTTTCGAAACATTGCTCTTTTATAATTTTTATAAAATTAAGCGACATTTTTTATATAAAGTAACATCTTACATTTGTTTAAAAATGTTCTTTAATTATCAAAGTTTGCAAGTTTTATTTTTTGTTTAATACTATTTTATGTTTCGAGTAGTTTGAATAGTTTAACATATTTGAAACAATTCTTCTTAGTAAGATACACAAATGAAATAATTAAATCATTGAAATACTATAGAAATTAAATTAACTAGATAGAAATCAACTAAAAAGGTTAAAAATAATGTATGACGAGAAAGCGAAACTACTTCACAATATCGCGATGTTTAGAGAGTGGGCTTTTTAATTAGTATTTAGAGCAGAAAAAAGTATAATAAGTTTTTAAGAATGGCAGCTTAAGCGAAAAAATTAGAGCTAGTAAACCGATATCTAGAAACTTTTCTTTATATCTAATAACTTGCTATATATATTTGTATTCTGTTGTGACCTCAGGCGCGGTGCTTGTTCATCCGCGAGTTACTTTGTATGCATCGTTTGTGTTTAGTAACCAGAAACTTCTTATATGTTTGTTAAATAATTAGTTTTATTAACTTAAATAATTATCAACTTCCTTGAAAACGCAATTATTTTTGTAAGTCTTTATTTACAAGTTAAATCGATAAAAAACAGATACACAAAATTACATTTACATAAAAAATATACTTTTTAAATATAAAATAAGAATATACTAATAAAATCTATAATTTATAATAAACTTTCAAAATTTTTGACAATTTAAATAATATATATTTAAAACATTTATTTATGTAAACAAATAATAATAGTTTATAGTACTTACGGCTATGCAGATATGACTCCTAGAATGAGCTATAGAATTGATAATATATTCTTAAAACAATCTATGCTAGAAATCTCATATCGTAACAAATCGTGAATCATACAATTTTTAAAACATTTTAAAAGAATACTCTTGGACTTTATTTCGCTTAATCAGCGTATTTTTTGAACTAATAGAATTAGTTTGTTCGTTAATTTGGCGGGTTTTTAGAGTTCGCGAATACTCTTTTTATTCTTCCCCACCAAGATGTTTTAAGAACATTCAAGTTTTTTATGTTTCCATGTATATCTGTAGAACCAAAATTTTTTTTTTCGTACATAAACTTAAATGTTTTCAAAACAACTAAAAAACCTGGCCAGTTTCTTGCAACTAAATATAATTTCCGTGGTCAGTATTTGAGAGCGACCGCTCCCGCTTCCTGACCAAACCTATATTTGCTATCTAAAAAACTATTAATGGCTTGACAAAGTTATTAGTCAATAAAAAAACTTTTATGTTAATTTTATCAGAAAGCACAAATGACTCAGTCCTACTTAAAAGTCATTACTGAATCCAAAACATAAATTTCATTAAAAAAAAATTTTTTTGTGGCGAGGCAAGTGCATATTGGGAGTTGTCTCCTACAAATACAACTTTCACTGCAGAGGTCTATTGTACTCAACTAGAAAAGCTTAAGCAAAAACTCTTAACTTATTGTTCAGAGCAACACAAATTTGCTTTCTTCTTGACAAAAATCAACAACATAGAGATATTTCCTCACCCACAATATTTACCAGACCTAGCTCCAACAGATTATTATTTGTTTTGTTCATCAATCAACTATGAGAATAAATTTTTTAAAAACAAAATCAAACTCAAACCATACCAGAGTAACTTTTTTACCTTAAAGCCCAAAGAGTTTCACAGAGGATCCATAAGAAACAAATATATGACGAACTTATCACTGCCACAACCCAAACAATGTAGCAATAATTCCCTTGCATGTTCTATATCAGTCAGTGTATGTAATGAAGCTCCTAGCAACTCCCTGTTTCATTATGAAGTAAGATTGCTTATCTAAACATGCTTTTAATGTTGTATATACATCCGCCAAACTCAGAGTTTGCCAACTTTTCTTTTAAACGTAGACATTTGCTCAAAATTTTGAAAAAGGAACACAGAACTTTACTATTTTATCAGGTGTTTAAATAAAAGATAAGTTTTGCCAATAATATGATAATTTTTTATTTAAAGTTAATAAAATGTAAATTGTTTTCTTTTCATTTTAATTGCTTTGTTTATTATTTAAGTAAAAGGTTTGTATTTAAAATATTAATAAAACCTTTATATTATTTGAATAACGAGAGTATATATAACTTTTGGAAATACTGTATTTTATTAAAAAGAATTTTATAAGGATAAAATTATATATGCTATAAACAGTGTTTAAATTTATTTGTTCAGAAATTTAAAAAACTTTGTTTTAAAATATTTAAAATTTTTAAATATTTAAAATTTGTTTTAAAATATTTATCTATAATATATAAATTTTTTATTATATAAATTATTTTATTATATAAATTATTGTAAATAATATATAAATTTTTATTATTTTAAATAGAATCTAAACAAAATGTTTGTTTTTTCTTTTTTCTTTTAATTTTATTTAGAACTTAAATTAAACATTTATTTTGACAATTTTACTTTAATTATATTTAAATGTCAATACAAATTCAGCCACTTTCCTTAAATTTAATTGATAAAAATTACCTAAAAAATCATAAAATCCAGAAACTGTTTAATTAAAATAAGCCTAGCTATAGCTGAATTTTTGGAGTTATAGCTATAGCTGGACTTCAGAATCTAAGTTTATTTTTTGCTTAGATAAATACTTAGAAAAATACTTGTTATAATATAGTAAATAAAACCATATTTACCTTTTTGTCTTAACTTGGCTGCCATAGGTAAAAAGTAAGAAATAAAAAACTTTAATTCACTATTTTGGATATTGTCTTTCATTACAGGAAGTAACCAGGCTCTTGGGAATTGACATACATCACTAAAAAATGGAAAAGGGTTTTGAAAAATTAATATCAAAGAAAAAAAAAGAAGAAAAAAATCAACATTAAAATATATTAAAAATTAAAGAAAACTTCATCATAGTACAAGAGTTAAATATATGTAAAGTATTATAAAATGCATAGTTATAAAATGCATAATTATAAGATGCATAATAAATGCAAAAATTGCGTTGTCAGTCAGCAATCAAAATCATGTTTAACAACTAAAGTAATTCAAATCTAAAGTAATTCAAACTTCAACATAATAAAAATTAAAAAAAAATGATAACATATAATTCAAAATTTCAACAGCATTCTCAGTGATATAAAGCTATAAAAGCAATATAATTATTTTATTATTTAAAACCATCAGTAGTGATTTATGTACATACATCTATTGAGGATAATTCAAGTCAAAAAGTAAAATGAAACACTTAGTAAAAAGATTTATACAAAAATTTATTTGTAAACATTTATAAGCTTACTTAATTTTTAATTAACTTTTATAAGCTAACTTTTTGCTAAAAAAGTTTTTGTTAGTTAACAATTTCATTTTATAACACACTTTGTAATTAATATAATCATAACCATAATTCATTTTTTTCAATATACTAGCTGATTTCACTGAACTTGCTAGTTTGTTCAAAAACATACAAGATTCTTTTGACTCTATCATTTAGTCTTTTTAAAATTAAAATTATTTAATATTAACTTACTCATTTCGTAACAATTCTAAAGGACGTTCTAGTATAATCGCCTTAGGTCCCATTCCCTTGAAAGCAGCACCAATGGTATTGAGAAGGTCATTTTTAAATGGAAAATCAGGATTATCATGTAAGTCAATAAGAGATGCAACTCCTTTGATCATTACTGACCGGCATGTGCTTCCGAATGTTGCATATAAATATTGCAAACATTGTAAAACAACATTCCATAATGGTTGATATTTATAACGCAAACCTGATTCCATAATCTTAATGATTTGTTTAAATGAAGAATTTTCTAATTTTATATCCTCAGTAAGTTCGTCTTGAATATTTTCCAAGCAATTTTGACTAGTTAACTGTAAAATTAAAAAAATATATATATATTTAAACTAATAATCAAAATAAAATTTAATTTCAATGAAAAATTAAAAAATTATATTTTCTAAATACAAAATATTATACCTTCATTGCATCTGCTGCAGCCTTAGCAACAGCTTTATGCTCTGATGAAAAAAATGATAAAGCTGAGCTAAAGAACTTTGGTAATGCATTTAAACACGATTTTCTATTCAATCTAATCAAAGTAAAAGATAATTTCAAAAAAAGTCTTTCAAAAAAAAAAAAAAAAAAAAAATTCTGTCTATTAATGCTGCACATTTTTGTATTTATAAATAGTATAGTATATATTAGTATAAATATTGTATGTAATAATAATAAATTTTTTTAACAGTGTTTCAATTTTCAGATTATTTGAAAAATATAAAACACATTTATTAAAACATATTATATTAGGCAACTTAGATTTCAAACAACCCGGACAAGCTTGTTTTAATACCCAAAAACAAATATAGCTTAATTGTTTAAAAAATGTATCACTTTTAAAATGTTTCAAATCACGCAATCAATTATGCAATCAAGTGTAGCAACCTGATTGCACAAATTAGCTTAAAAATGGGTACCAACAAGTGAAACCTTTAATTCTGTATACAAATTGTAAAACTGATAGAAATTAGTTTGCCAACAAGTGAGACAGTGAGACAACAAGTAGTAAGGTTTAAGTAAGACAATCAGACAACAAGTAGTAAGGTTTAAGTGAGACAACAAATAGTAAGATTTAAGTGAGACAGTCAGACAACAAGTAGTAAAGTTTAAGTGAGACAATAAGTAGTAAGGTTTAAGTGAGACAGTGAGACAACAAGTAGTAAGGTTTAAGTTAGTGAGACTGTTTAAACAGATTTTTGTTCAGATCAGTGTTTGATTTTGAATTTTGAAGTTTTTAAATAAACTTATATATTTAATACAATATCCTACATACAGTTTTACATACACAAAGTTTTTTTTTATAAACTTATATATTTAATACAAGTTTTATGACCTTTTTTAGTCAATAAAAATTTAAGCTTTATAACATAAAACTTAATCAAAATAATAAGTAATTATAATAAATATAAGTATAAAATATAAAATAATTAACTTTAACTGCAAAAACCTTTTTTATTTGCTTTTTCAAATAAAATTGAATTGAAAGAGAAGCAACAATTTCTTACTTTCTTATGAAAAAACTTATCAAGGCAATAGGCAATTTAGGTGTCACTTTATTGACTTCTTTGTAACTTTATGAGTGATAACTAATTTCTGAAAATTCAGGATAAATTTTTTCAAATTTTATCAATATGGTTGAATAAAAAAGAAAAAAATAAAAAATAGGAAATAAAATATTTAATAACAATACAATTATTATGATAACAATTTATAATAATTCAAGTAACACTTACTTAACTAAAAATAATTTAATTACCAATAAAACAAGTTGATAAATATTGATTATTGGAAAATGCAAGAAATGAAAATGATAAAAACATAATTACAATGAGAGGTTGGAGTGTGCTGCAGCCAGCATAACTAACCATCCTTCAGAAACATGAACATCATTAACACTGGGTTGAAAATCATTTAAAGCCTTTAAAAAAAAGTTATAAAAACATAAACTATGAAGTTTAAAATTAACGTCATAAATAAATTGAAATCTTAATTACAATTGTGAAAAAAAAAAATTTCAGAACTGTAACTAAGGACGTAAAAAATCACTGTTTAAAACATTTGATTTTTCGTAAAGAAAGCAAAAAACTAATGTAATGTCTCAAGGCCAATAACACGGGTTTTAAAGTGGGGTGGGGGCACAATCATCAATTTTTGAAAAAAGGTCCTCCAGAAAAAAAAGTGTGTGTGGGGCTCCCTGCCCCCCCCCCCTAGTGTTGCCGGCCTTGTGTCTAAAATCTTAAAGAAAAAATAACTAGTTTTATGCTGAAAAAAAACATTTGAAATTGTGTAGTAAACATAAATTAATAAAACTATTACTCAATATAATAACATTTATATTTAAATATAATCATATTCAGATACTCACATTAATGATTTTACCATTTAGCTCCAAAGTAAGGTTTTCTTCGGGTGGATGACTTTCAAATAAGGCATAAAGTGTTTGCATAGAATTTGTTTTGACAATCTAAATAAATCAACAGAAAAAAGTTGTAAAAATAAATGCCATCTTAAAAAAGATACCTAACTTCACTGATAAGTTATTTTTATTAATTTTTTTATATTTATTTGCTGCAGTGAACATATGCTCACTGATTAATAAACCACATTTGCAGCAAATTTAAATTTGAAAAAGTAAGATTACAAATAAAACTCAAAGCTATTTCAGATAACTGTTATTTTAATTTGTAAACAACATCACAATATATCTAGTTAATCACTATTTTTATTTATGACAGTTTCAAATATTAATATTCATGACACTTATTATTTTTAATTTCTGTGAGTTGAAACTGCTAATTAAACATTAGATTAAAAACCAGAATTTTGCAAACAAATATTTTTTTTTAAGTTTAATTATTATCTTTTATTATCTTTTTAACAAAATAAATCAAATATATTATAATTCTTGAAATAGTTTTATTTTATAGTCAAACACATGAATTATAGAAAATTACTCAACAAAACGTTATTAAAATTATTTTTTATTTTTAGCCTCTTTAGTGAGTATTTTGGTGTATATGGAAGCCATGGAAACCCTCACACCATCTGCTATTCCATGTCTGCTAGTTAACAATGTTATTGTAAAGTTATAAATTATAATTATTTAAGAACAAGTTTAGTAAGCAAACTTTTTTAAAGTTTCTTTTATATACATAGAAATAAAAAGAATAATTTCTTACCAAGTCATTTGAAGACATAGTGTTTAAAACTGCTTCACATAAAATTTTTAAATTCTAAAAAAAAAAAAAAAAAAAAATATCAAACTTCAGGCCTTGTTAAGAATCGTTACGCAGCTTGCATTTTACCTGCGAAAAGGCGATTTGTCTACGCGTTCAGCAGTTTTGCGTTACGCAAAAACTTTAATTATTTAGAATATTAATTATCATTTGATATCATTTATGTGACGTTTTATCATTTGATATCGTTTATGTGAAATTATCATTTGATATCGTTTATGTGACGTTTATTCAGAAGAAAATAAAGTCGTAAGTAAAAGCATTTAACCGCAATTGTAAACTAATAGATTTTTTGTTAAAGAAAAATTTGTTTAATTATTTTTATTGTTGTTGTTGTTAAAAATTAGTTAAAAAAAAAAACACTAATTAACTTGGAATCCTGATAATCCCAACTGATTAATCCTTTCCAAGTGCATTTTATAAATGTTTCAAATAGATATGTTGAACTGCATTTATAGTTTTATGTCACCAAGATTACATCATATAATACTAAATGGACATATACACCGATTTTTATTAATTAAATATAAAAATAGAAATAATTTCTGAAGTAGCTCAAAACACATAACAAAGATATTATGAAGTTTCAAAAGCATTTATCAAGTAAATAACCTCAAATAAAAACTAATATGAGTGTAATGAAAAAAGCTGCATTGCACTGCATGGTCACACTTGTACAACATAAGATACAACTGAATTGTTCTATATAGCTGACAAAAGTGTTATTTCTGAATATCTTAAAAACTAGCAATTCTATCAATAAAAAAAAAAACAAACTAGAAATTAGATTTCATGTAGAACAATGCAGCTAATGTACCAATAAAATATAGCAAAAACATTTGGTAAAAAAATTTAAATTTAATAGTTAAGTAAACTGAAGATTGACAGGCCTGCACAAGATTGATTTAATAGACCTGTTAATTTTTAGTTTACTGAAATATTAGATATAAATTTAAAAGTTTATTTTTCGCTTTTTAGTACAAAAAAGATATTTTTTAGCAATTGTTTTTTCTATATTTTATTTTCCACTTATTAGTTTTGCAATGAGTTATGGTATTTAAGAATGCCAATTATTGTTATGTAGCACTGTCATTGTTATGTTGCAATATTATTATTCAACAGTGTTCAGAATACAAGAAATAAGAGAAAGATTAAGTTCCTTAGTAACAAGCAACATTGGTACAATATTTATCTCATTTTTAGCTGAATGTTGTTAACAATATTGCACCAATATAAAATGTCCACATTTTGATATATATAGCAAACATTGATTGACAATATTGGCTATATATAAACTGCAATAAAATGTCAACATATATTCTCATCATAATAAAAAACTTTAAAATTTAAATTAAAATGAGCACCCTAAGGAGGAATTGAACCCGCAACCCTGTTAACTGTGCATCAAAATTAGACACCTATTTCATCCACAAAACTACGCTACTAAATTAATGATGAGAAAAATTAAAGGATTTTAACATTTTTTTGCAATCAAAGAAGATTTTTTTTGAAACATTATGCGAATGAGCATATAAAAAATGGCCTCCCAGAAATAAAACATTAAAATTTAAACAAATCTCTTTGAGGAGGACTTGAACTCTGTCAACTGTGCCTCAAAAGAAGAATGTTATTACATACATAGTTTGCGCAAATATACTGATGACACAACAAATAAAAAATAAATTTGTAGATAATTTACTTGATGAAGAGTTCATCAAGATGCAAATGGGACAAATTGGATCTCAGATATTAATGTGGTTACATAAGGCTGCTGAGCAAATTTAATAAATTTTTTGCGTGTAACCTAAAAATCAATGATGTTAAAGTTCATATAGAATCATATGAAATCAATCAATGTTAAAGATGATATAGAATCATATGAAATCCATCAATGTTAAAGATCTTTGGTTTGGCAATATAAATAAACCTGGTGGACTAAATCTTGACTTAACTCAATCTATGCACTGGAGTATCATATGAACTGTGACTGCTGATCATTACTAATCTTTTGCTAATTTCTAATTTAATTGCTGATCCAACTATCTATGCTGCAAATCTTTGAATCTGGTGCATAATTGACTCTTCAGACACTGGAATTATTTTAACCTTGTAATAAAGCTGCAAAATATCTTTATTGCATCTGCTCTCTCTTCTGGAATGCTTTATCACTTGAAAAAGTACAAAGTCGTGCAAAATACTGAAAGTGAAAGAACTTTTGTGGAAAAGTGACTAAATCAATCAAAATAAATATAAAAAAAGATAAAAAAAAACAAAAAAAAAACGACAGAAACACTATACCACAAGGACAAATGTTTAATTTTATTACCAACTCACTTCATTACCACAAGGAAAAATGTTGAAGGAAATACATACATATCATTCTTACAGATGTGGAATTCAGAGGTTGTATTACTTCCTCTGAATTTCATATATATGGAATTTTAATCCATCATTACCATTGATTAGATGGCATCCAAAATGCCATCTAATCAATGGTGGCGCTCATATCAAGATAATATTGAAAGTAAAGTTTCACCTTTCCTATTTTCTGCAGTGACTTCATTTGTTGAAGTTGAGCATGCTATCTCCTCTTACAGCTAAGTACATTTCAAGTTTAGAATGAGAAACAGAAAAAAGCTGCTAAGCTTGGGTTTCTTTTTAAGGCATCAGCACAAAACAAATTCAATGCTAACTTTTTTTACTGAATTGCCACGATCTATCTTTGACAATGACATATGGCTTTTATGGTGTTGTTGTCTTTTAAACTAATCAGTTTGAAGCAAAAAAAAAAAATTTTTTTTTTGCTTCAAACTGATTTGTTTAAAAATGCATTCTTTTCTGCTGCGCTCAACTTGTTTCTCTGCGCAGAGACCTTGTTCATCAAGGTTCGTGTTTCAGAGTTATAGAGTTTTGAAGGTTGTAACCACAATTAAAGCAGCCTTGTCAACTGTAGTGGCCTTCATGGCCTTAGTGAGGTGAATTAATATTTAAAAAATATATATACCTTTAGACTTGCATACATATCCTGCCCCCAAATCTTGCTTTTTGCTAATCTCATTTCAAGTTTTTTTTTTTTTTTTTTTTGACTACTGGCTTTTTTCTTAGATTTTTTATTTTAACATTGTTATGAGATTTTATTTATTTATTTAAAATTAAAGACTAATGATCGCTATACAACCCTTTGGAAAATCATGTAATATTCGCTTTAGACAATCATTTATGGTTGCTAATAAGTAATTATTTTTGGACAAAAATTTGTAAAACTCTCTTTACACAATCATTAATGATAGTAAAACTATTTCAATCATTTATGCAAAACTATTTCCTTGGAGAAGAACTTTGCACAAGGAATTTTAACATGAATTAAATATAAAGCCATAGTGATCAACTTATGAAAGTTGAGATACTACGAGAAACAACTTAACAGTATAAAATTGCCATATATTTAATTGCAAATAAAAATTAAGCAAATATCAACACAACTATCTAATAATGATTATCGACTAATCACAGTAAAGAAAAACATTCTCTAAACTTCATAAAAAATACATTTTTTATGTTTTTATGTTTTCCATGTTATTATAATTAAATAAAAAATAAATAAAAATTATATAAAGTGATACCCTTCTTTTATAATCCCTTCCCTGTTCATTTTTATCTTGATCCCCTCCCATCTTTTGCATGATGGCATTATATAAATTAAAACTTTCTTAAATTAAATTTTATACATAAGTCGCCACATCATTTTGTTTTATTATCTATAAAAATATTCTATACAATTACTATTTTATGCTTAATCTGCTAACAATTAAGTTGTTATTTCAGTATTTTAAAAGACATTACAAAAAAGTTATCAAGCCATAAAGTTATAAAAAAAACATATCAAATTGTATAAAAACATAAATAAAATTATTTAAAAAACAGTAATAATAAAAAATCACAAACATATTAATAAATATATAAGCAATTTTAAAATGCTATTTAAAGGGATCCCAAACTCCCAACACATGTTGTGTTCATATTAAAGATAATGTTAAAAAAAAAGGTTTGAACCAAATTTTTTTGATTAAAAATAAATAATGAATGCATACTGTGAAAAACAAATGTTGTTGTTTTTGCCGAAGCTCGTCTTCTCCATTTTTTTGAACTAATCGGAGTCTTCAAATTATGCGTCGCAATCTACAGACTTTGGCAATTCCTTTGAAGCGCTTTTAATTCATAAAAGTTTTAGTATTTGACGTCACAGTAGACTTTTAACAAAAGAAAAATGTAATTAAACTAAGCTGCGTTTTTCTACTGTAGTATTTTTTTAACAAATACAGCAAAACAAATTTATTTGTATTATTTTTCCAAACATCGCAAAAAAAATTTTGTAAAAAGTAAAAACAATAAATTATTTTTATTTTATAGGAGCAACTTATTTTTTACAGATATCTTAATAATTTTTAGATTTATATATCTTACTTATATTTCTTTAATTATTTAAATTAAAACAAATATTAAAGCTTTACTTACCAATTTCATGATTTTCATACGAGTATTTTACATTATATAGAACGTTTTATATACGGTCTCTTGTTTTTGCGCAAGAGAGCGCAGTATTATATATTCTGATTCTTAATTATTTTTATTTAAACAATGGGAACTATTTTCTAACTTCTCTGTTTATTTTTACGCTATGACAATTTTTTGTTTTCCCGTTGAAAAAAAGTATTTGTTAACAATTACTTTCATAAACTGACAGTATTAATTAGAGATATTTAATGAACTGGTAACTTTTTTTATTATAAAAATTTTTTGATCACGCTGATTTAATTTAAATTGCTAAATTTGCTGAATTGGATACGGATAAAAAGGAAATACCATTTTATTTTACATTTGATTTTTGATAATGAAACTTTTATAATGTCAGCAACTCCATACCAATTAGAACCTGTTAAGATTATGAAAAAAAACAACAAGAATACACTAAGCAATACAGTTGACAGTAGTATCAGATATGAAAATTCGTGAAAGGATTTGTGAGATCCTGATTTTGCATTAAAAGTACAATTAATTGCAACACAAGTCGGCACTATAAATTTTGATTATAAGTTTACTGTTCAATATTTTATAACCATCAAATAAAAAACATGAAGTTTGTATATTTTTGCCCGTTTTATACAACTAATATTTAACAAAAATACGGACAAATTATTATTAAATAACGCAATAATTAACTCATTTATTTAAGGCAATAATTCAAGATAGATGGTAATTTAAACTGTTAAAATGTCATAGCGCGCATTAAAAAACATATTATATTTGGTATTTCCAAATTTGTGTCGTAATTGGCATTTGTCTCTTGACATGAAAACATGAAAAATTAAAAATTTTTAAAAACACAATTAACAAATACAAATTTTCAAGCAATTTTCTCTTCCAATTCTCATTTATTCAAAGAAAATTTACTATTAAACTTTTATTTCTCTCATCTAAAAAAAGAACGAGTGAAGCAAAAAATATATATATTCTATACAACTCTTATTCATTCAAAGTTTAATTGCGCAAAACTTTTCTTTCTCTTTTGTTCTACTCTTTTATAAAAAGAGCGCCCGATGAAATAAAAACTTTTCTTTTTTAACATATAATTATAGTTTGTGATAAAATTAAATTAGAAATAAATCAACAATGAGCAAAGCAACGAACAGATTAATCTGGAGCTATTTTGATATTTAAGAAAATAATCAACATAAACAACATAACCAACAACAATTACCAAATAAACAACACAATCTCGCATAATTTTAGGGGCATTTTATTTTTATTGCTTAGTCGTTCTAAATAATAAGTAAATTTAGTTCAAGTTAATAATTCAATATTTACAGTTGCAATAGCATAAAGAAATGGTGTTTATTACTGAACTTTTTATTTAGTTATTTATTTTTTTACCTACATTTGTTATAAAAAACTTTAGAACCCCCGTCATTAAAATAATTTGTTTTAAATATATTTCAACGTGATTATTTAAACTAATTTTTTTCGTTTGACTTTCCGAACTTCATGCAAAGCAAATTGAAACGAAATATCGTCTAACCAAATAAAAAAACTGTTACTAATTTTATACAAGTAATTTATGTAAAACAATTTTTGAGATAATAAATATTCATAATTTATAAACATTAAATTTATGGCGCAATAACAATTTATAGTAACGAACCAGCATAAAATATTTAAGGTTTTTATTATCTTTTTACATATTTAAAGTAGAAAAATAAAAAACTAAACAAATAATCAAAAAAACTTCGACTAAAAATAAATAAAAATATTTCTAGAGTTTCATTTGTTAAAAGTCTACCGTGACATCAAATACTAAAACTTTTATGAATTAAACGCGCTTCAAAGGAATTGCCAAAGTCTGTAGATTGCGACACATAATTTGAAGACTCCGAGTAGTTCAAAAAAATGGAGAAGACGAGCTTCGGCAAAAACAACAACATTTGTTTTTCACGGTATGCATTCATTAATTATTTTTAATCAAAAAAATTTGGTTCAAACCTTTTTTTTTAACATTATCTTTAATATGAACACAACATGTGTTGGGAGTTTGGGATCTCTTTAAAGCTTTAACATAATTTACAGTAAAAAAACAAACAAAAGAATTACAAATAAAAACTTTTTGTTTTAGAAGGTTTGAAAGAACAGAGACAGAGATATAGATAAAGAAATGAAAAGGAGAAAAAAAAATAATAATAAATAAAATTAGACATACTTCAGATGAAAACATTCCCATACACTGTTTCAGTAAGTTTAAAATATGATTGGAGGAAATTTTCGAATCTAAACAAAAAAAAAAAAAAAAAATCTTATGTCATTCAAAAATTAAATAAAATATAAATTATTACAAATATATTATATAAATAATATGATATATATATATATATATATATATATATATATATATATATATATATATATATATATATATATATATATATATATATATATATGGAAGATTTCTCCTAAAAATAATGAATTTTGTTTTAACAATACCACTATAAACAAAAATTAAATTTTTTCTCAACTATTTACTCCAGATTGTCTGTTTTTGAGAAGCAGACAGTCTGGAGTCAACAGCCTGCCTTTCTAGTTGTTGTATTAACTTTAAATAAAAATTTCAACTATTTTTAATGTTCAATGTAAAGTAATAATTTTTCTTTTTTTTTATTTATACTCTACACGGCCGAGAAGGCCACTACAGACGAAGAGGCTACTTAACTGTGGTTATAACCCTCTCTTAACTCTATAACACCGAAACACGAACCTTGACGAAAAAGGCCACTGTGCTATAAAAGAAATTGAGCGCAATACTACCAGGGACATGGAGGGGATTGAAATCGGAACCTCTCACTTTTAAAACGAGCGCTCTACCACTACACCACTACCGCATAATCAATAATTAGGTAAGCATAACATCCTATTAATATATAACAATATATAAATAATATTTAACATTTTATATATATAAATATTACATAATATAATTAATATATAAATAATATTTAATATTATAATTAATAACAAATATTTTACATTATTAACATTATCATTATGATACACCAAAGACACTAGAGTAGTCAACCTTTAACCTGATGTGGAAAAAAATCTTATCTGCTAATTTAATGGCTTAGTTAAAAACAAGACATGGGTCTGCCTTGGTAACCATCGATCAATGGTATTAGTTTTGAGAATGTCATTTTTTATCTTTTTATTACTTTATTGTATGCATACATAATGTACCAAACATTTAACATTAATGAAATAACATTAAATAAAAAAAAAAAAAAAATTTAAGTTTTGTTGTTTTAAATTTTGTTTAAGTTATTTAAACTTAAGTTGTTTTTTTTTGCAACAGTCATCTAAAATGCCTTACTGGGCTTAGGCCTCTCAATTTTACACTTTGACTTATTTGTGAAACATTTTTTTCCAATTTTATAAACTGTTATTTTTAGCTTTATGAATACTACATGAATATTTACAAATACTTTTGAATAAATTTTTTTTTTTTCGTTATGTGCATCGAAAATGTTTGGACTAAGATCCCCTCAATTCACTCTTTTCCCCATTTATAGCTATTTGCACTTTGATTAGATTTCAAAAAAGCTCTTTTCTATTGTTATATTACAAATCTATTGTTATAATACAAATACTGAATAGAAAAAGTTTCATTTGAGTTACACAATATAAAACCTGGCAACCTCTTTGGCATACAATGGTCAGCATCTAGTCAATTACTAAACTTTTATATCTACCCACTTTTTTATTCTACAATTTAATTTCTAAATCAAAAACTTGAAAATTATAGTTAATAAAAGAATGAATACTTTAGGTCTAGGTAAGTTTATAAGACTCTGACCCATCCAGGTGTCAATTAAAGGACTTGATGGTTTCTTCTGCACTTTCAAGGTCAACTGATTTAAATTTCTTTATTATATAAAAGTAATATAGGCTGTTATGTGGAGCAGCAGCAGTAATAGCAGCTTGCAGAAAGTACTTTTTATAAAAAAGGCAAATGCACTCAACCATCCACTAAAACCTTTTTGAGTAGGAATAAGTAGGAATATTTTTGGATAATAAATGGTTTTTGACATTTATCTTGCATGATGATTAGAACTAACAATCCAAATTTGGAAACCTCTTTTAATACTTATTAAAAGAGGTTTCCAGAAAAAGAACACACAGAAGAAAAAAATAATAGAATAAGCTCCACTAGTTCTCAATAGTCTTAACAAGGAAAAGTTTTTCTCTCCAGCCATTTCATTGCCCATTTTTTTACTTCAAATGCTTGTTGAAATAAAAAAATATTTTGATCATGAGGCCAGTCCCCTAATCTAAGATCTTTTATATTCTTGTTATGAAACTCTTTTTTGAACCATTTACACAGCTGAACTCTTGGTGATTTGTTTGGGTCACAAATAGTGTTTGATGTTGCTTTTATAAAGAGCTCTGGAGTATGTCTACATTCCATTATGCACTTCACTGTTTGCAGCTGTTGTATCATAAACAAGTGCAACAACAGATGATTTTTGTTGCCACTTATCAACTTTGTACATCATTTAACAATATTACCAGGTCCATCAGCAATTTAAAAAACCTAAATTGCTAGGAGTACCTGGTGGACCTGCATACACAGCAAGTAACTCATCATTTTTTCTAGTAGCTTAAAAGCTACTGTCCCAATGAATTTCTAAAATTCAGTAGAAATCCTAGTTTCTTTAATTAATTTAGCTGATTTAATTCTGATCTTGTTCTATGAACTGATGTTTTTAAAAGTATAATATCATTTAAAGCTGCTCCACCTACTGTTAGTCTTTCCCAAAATAAGTAGCTATAGTCTTTCACTAATACCTAATATCAGATATCAGCAACTGTACATATTTCTTTAAAGATTCCTTATTTTAAAATTTTCAGTGTTATCTCAGATTTGCAATAATTTTTTGCTTTACTTTTCTTTCTTGTCTTCCATTTTCGGGAATTTTTTTCAATGTATCATACTGGGTTACCAAACGGACAATCCGATCAACACAGTCCTTCCTGCTAAACTTCGTTGGAATACAAGCAGGTAACCAAAAGTTTTCAATAATATCGCTATTTAGATTATTTGCAATCAGTCTTGTTTCTTTTCTAGGATTGTTTTCTCTCTTAAAAAGATATTTTTGTAATACCGCAACTCCTTAGTGATTAACAATTAAATTGTTTGAATTCCAAGAAATTAAAACAGTTATTAGGCAAAAACATTGTGCAATACTTTCACAATACATTACTCAAACTTTCATTGTTTTGTAAGTATCTAAAAATCACCCTAAATTCAAAATTTTTGATATTTGAAGTTTTTTGATAAAATATCATCACTGGTAAAAACCCTGATTAAAATAAAAAAAAGTTTAAAATAGACCCTCCTAAGCATATATCTCGGTTTCAAAATCTTTAAATCAGATTGAACACATTTAAGATTATTTTGATAACACCATCATTTTTTTTTTCTCTCACTTAATTTTCAGTAAATAAAAAAGACTATTTTTATCTTTGTAATTGGCAGTCAAGTCTTGTAACTGCCCAGCTCTGTTTATTAATAATTATTAATAAAGCAAACTTTAAAAAAAAAAAAAAAAGAAAAAAAATTAATAATAAAAAAATTTGTTAAAAATCTAAAAATTAAAATACTCTATCCATTTCAAACAAAATGTATGATCAAAGATACCTTGTTGTTTCAAAGTTTCTTCACAATATTTTGCAGCAATTGCTGCAGATTGGTGATTTTTGTTGTTAGCTACAGCAATTTTCAACAACGACTTAATGTTAGAATGAGCAGCTTTTCTTACCTAATTGAATAATTAATTCACTATAAAGCTATATAGTATATCTATATTTAGTCTAAAAATTAATTTACCAAATCTAGAATATGAGATATTGAAAAAAAGGAGTAGACTAAACAATTTATTAATTAAAACATTTTATGTTAAAACTTTAAAATTAAATTGTACAAAATATGTTAATTAAAAAGTTGAAGATAAAAAAAAAGCCCTTACTCTTGGTTTACTGTGAATAGCGAATGTAAGCAAAGCCTGAAAACATTGTTGGGTTGAAGACTCATGCCATACTGCTGCTTCAACTGCACTCAAAATGATAGTCAAGCATTCTAGTAGCTACAAATACATTAACAATAAAATACTAGAAAACTTAAATTTTTTTTTTTTTTAACTTACAACTATGATTTATATATATATATATATATATATATATATATATATATATATATATATATATATATATATATATATATATATATATATATATATAACTTATTATTTTAATCCAGGCCTTGTTTTATAACTTATTATTATAATCTAGAGTGGCTCTACTTGCTGATGACTCAACTTTATACTCTTGTCTTGACAAAAAATTTTCACTTTTTGATTGCTTAGAACAAGCAGCCAATATTAAATCTGATCACTCTTCTGTGACAGCCTAAGGTTTGCAGCAGAGTTGCATGGTTTTAACCAAATGGTTTAAACCATTGGTTTAAACCAATTTAAAAAATGTTGGTTTAAACCAAAGTAATGTTTTCTTAAAAAGATTTGAACTCACAACAGGAAACTAAGACAGGGTTATGTTCACAAATCTTCAATATAGATATATTTTATATATCTTTATTGAAGATTTAATAACTAATCTTCAATATAGATATATTTTTTTAAATCCATGATTTTTTTTTTTGTTTTTTTTTTTTTAATTTATCAATATGCTTCATCCAGGATACACTCTACCTAATAGAACTGAAATTGGAGGAGAAATATTAGATAGGGTTTACACAGAAGAAATTGAAAAATGAAGAAATTGAAAAATTAAAAATATATGTATTGAATGGGAGAATTGTAGCCATGTCTTTAGATGGCTGGAGTAATGTACATAATGAACCTATAGTTTGTACAGATAAAATTAACATTTTAGTAGAAACAATCAACACTTCTGGCCATTCACATACTGGTGAATATCTTACACGATTAGCAAGAGAAGCAATAGATTTTGTAAGACTTAAATTTGGATGCACAGTAAAGAGCTTTGCGACTGACAATCCAGCTAATATGAAATCAATGAGACAAGTATTGTCATCTGAAAGAGATATAATAAGTTATGGGTGTGCTGCTCATATGCTGAATCTTTTAGCAAATGATCTTAGCATTGAAAATGTGAGCAAGCATGTTACACAAATAATAAAATATATAAGAAATAACCATCAAGCTGGAGCAATTTATAAATTAAGCAGAGGAACAAAATTGCCACTTCCTACTGAAACTCGCTGGAATTCTGTATGTGATTCACTTGAAAAATATGTCAACAGCTGGAGCATTATTTTCACAATGTTTGAAAAAAATAAAGACTTGGATCCCATGATTGGTAAAAAGTTAATTGATATACAGATAAAGCGAAACACAGAAGATTTATTGAAAATATTGAAACCAATTGCAGTAGCTCTAGATAAGTTGCAAAAAGATCAAACAAAAATAAGTGACACTTGAAATTTTTAAAGACTTAAAGAACAATGTATCATTTTTATCAAACGAAAAAAAAAAAAATGAATCTAGATACCTTCAGACTGTCAGTGATGCTCATTTCCTGGCACTAGATATTTTTTCCTAAATATTTTTGATCTAATCCTAGATATTTTGGATCTAATCTTTCTGAAAATGAAAATAAAGCTGCCATGAATTTCGCAGATAAAGAGTTCAAAATTTGTTACCAATATTATTCAAATTAAAAACCAAATCTACTATGACATAATGGATATTGAAGGTTTTATTCAAAAGAATTTTTTCAATTTTTGGTCTTGTTCATTTTAAGTTGAGACACCGATTGGGGGTAGAAAAAGCAGCAAAGCTTGTATTTATATATAGAACATTAAACAATGATATATTAAATAATTTTGATAAAATATAACAAAAATATTAATAAAGAATATAGTTTACTCAAACAAAATGTTATGCTTTTTTTAATTTCAAAGGATAACTAAATACTGCATTTTTTAGTAAAAACCTAACTTAAACCAAAAAAACCTATGGTTTTTGGTTTTTTTAAAAAAAAAATAAAGTGCAAATTTAATTTTTGATTTAATTAAAGGCTCTGCATGGAAAAACTAAATTTAGCTTTTTACAATCAACTGACAATCCCTTAGCTTATGTATTTGGTACAGGATTAACCATATTTTCAAATCTCTTTCTACATTATGTATAAACATTCTGTACTATTCTGTAACATTCTGTACTATTCTGTAACATTCTGTACTATTCTGTACTATACTCTACATTCTGTACTATATGTATAAACATTCTGTACTGTTTCTAAATTCTAAAAGTGCATTAAAGATTACATTTGATAAGGATCTAGCATTAAGTAATACCACAATTATTGACAGACACAATCTTGCTAAATCATTTTGCTTAGATTAATTTTATTTTATATTTTTACAATTTGTTAATTTACTTTTATTAAAATGATAGACAAGTTTTTCTTCTGTTGCTGAATATTTTGATTATTTTGATAAAAAAAAGTTTGTTTTTTAAAGTTTGATCTTTATATTTTTATTTTATCTGAATTTATTGTATTTGTAAAATAATAAGTATATTTTATGTAATTTAAATTTAAATAATTAAAAACAATAATTTCTATAAAAAAAAAAAATCTCACACTTATTAAGAGTGCTGCACGACCATTTTCATAATATTTAGAAAGCAGTTCCATAAATAATTTAGAAGATTGGGAAAACTTCATTTTTAAAAGTGCCACTGGCAGCCTTAAAAATATAAAATATATAAATTAACATGATCATCATCATTATAATTATCATCATTATGTCATCGCTATCATCATCATTAACTTCATTACCATAGAATGAATTGATGAAAAAAATTTCATACTTTTTTAATACTAAACTAAGAAGATATGTTATTGCTGTTGCAGAGTCTTCTCCATCATTAGATGCTAATGTAGTCATCTAAATATAAATTCAAAAACAAAAATCAATAAACAAATCACTTTTAACATTAATTTAAAACCCAAATGAGAGTTTGGGTACTAATCATGTAGTTTAAGTAAATAACAAAATCATGATTAAATAAAAAATTCTTGTTTTCAGCTTTTCACATCTTTGCAATTAATTTTTTATTTTTGCATCATTCTTTTTATTTATTCTTAGAACTTTTTCGGCAATTTCTCTAAAGGTCACAAATTGGGTCTCAAAAGTAGAGAAATTTTATAAAAATTTTATCAATTATCATTAATATAACTTTGCTTCTTTTGTTATAAAATTAGTTGTTAAAATGAAACTAAATTTAAAATAATTAAAATGTAGAAACATTCTATTACAATCCAAAATAAGTAAAATGAACAATTTTTACTTAAGACAAAATCTTTTTTTTTGTTAAAAGGTAATTTGAAATTCAAATATTTAAATTTTAAAAAATTAGACTTATTTTTAAACCAATTTATTTTATGACATTTTATTGAAAAAAAAATTTAATGACTGCTTTGTTGCTATATTTAACTGAAAATGTTAAGTTCAAGAATTTATGTTTTTGCTGTCAATTCTATTTTAACTAGTGTTTTTCCACTGTTTTTCGACTTTTAACGATGGATGTTGGATTGTAATTAAAATAGAAGAACTAAAATAATCAGAAAATTATAAAATGATTATATACAACTAAATTGATTTCACAGAATCGAATAAAAGTAAAAGTGATTCGACAAGTATAATTCATATGGGTTCACAGTATTTTATTTCAACACTTATTTCAACACAGAATTGAATAAAAGACAAATTTTCTATTTTATCTGAAGCAGTTTGTTTTTTAAATAATATCAAAATGACTAAAATAAAAAAAGTTTTACAAGAAGAATTATTTGCAATGAGAAGTACCACTGTTGGAGAGCCTTTGTACTCACCATATATTATCATTGAGCCTTTGAGTATATGGCTGTATCTTGAGCATTATACAAGCATTTAAGAAACTACTTTCAGCTACCTAGTGCACAATCTTTAACAAAATTGACCTCAAGAGCTAATAAACTTGATGCTGTATCTTTAATTTCTAAAATATTTCACTGTTTGGAAGACAGCGCTCATGCATTATAATGGTTAATGAAGTATACATTAAAGCAACTGTCAAATTTCATGGTGAAAAAGTCTATGGTCATGCTCAGAATAACCCAGAGAAGCTTGCCAGAACACTCCTTGTTGTAGTGGTCAAATGCTTATTTGCAGAACCTACATTTATTGTTAGTATGGTAAGGGCGTCTAATTTGGATTCCAATTTCCAAAACAGTGTTGTTGCTAATGTAATTGAATCTATGAACATACCAGTTGAAAAGCTA